CATTAATCGCATAGAATCTGTGTAAAAAGTATGTAGAAAAACACCTGATGTAACCTGTTACAGTCGTTGACCAGTTATGAGAGGTACAGAGGGTTATACAGGTAGATATGTGTGAAAACTGTCCGTATTGTTCGACCTGGGGGGAAGGGAAGAGGGGCTGCAGCCCCTTGCATACGCTGAGAAGACCCTGTTTTGAATATGGCCTCTGGAGTTTGTAAGGCATATATTAGAGGTGCACTTGCATCAGACTGGTTCTGGAACAAATTCTCACAGGCCCTCTTGCCTTGATTGGCTCACTGTGTCTAACAAGCACCCGAAGCTCCCAAATGCGTTTGCCATCTTCCTGATAACTCACTAGAAGTGCCATGTTCTTTTGTCAGAGTATGAATGGACATTCTAGCATTTGCACACACAAAATGCACTGTTCTGCCTCCAGACATGTTTTGGTAGAAGACTTAGCATCAAACATAGGAAAAGCTCTCTTTGTCCAAGTCCCTTCACTCTTTGCTGATATCCATGTCCGATTATCCCCATGGGAGCATTTGGCACTGAATGTGAGTCTACCTGAAATGAATGGTCTTGGTGCACTTCTGCTTCTACCAAGGGCCACGGTTTTATCTGAGGTCAATAAACTGGAATGAAAATGAAAGTCAGAGTTGTTTGTTCATTGCTTAATAGTGAAATGCATACACCATGTCACAACATTAAATCAAAGCTACAAAAGTTGGCCTTTGCAACCAAGTGGGTATTCTTCACAAAATGGCAGCATCATTTTCATACTACGATTAAAATGTACTGATATTCATTTGATATAAATAATTATGACCCAGAGTGGAGTGTAGGAAAATACTATACACTTACTCCTCTTTGCAAGTAATGTTTTTGCACCATCGGTTGAATAATTTATCCTCAATCTGCCACAAGAAGACTTTTCTATATACAAATACTATTTGCACACGCTATTTGTGTACAAATATATTCTATTCTACAGCATCAGTCTTGGATGCTTGGGTCATTAGATGGCTCGGGCAGTATTAAAACACACTTTGGACACAAAATGCCTCCATGCACACAGATTTCCTTTATGAATACCAACTTGACACAGGGCATCTCAACTGACTTGCCAAAAATTGGACCTACAAGAAGATCCCGAATTTGGGAAGAAACACTAACTCATGATACAGTGAATAGCTTTCTTCTTTAAAGAAAATCTTGATCTCTAGTCTGTTTTCCCATGATTCGAGGACAAAACTTAATTTTTACCCAGATCTTTCCAGATCTGAAGAGTCCTCCTGAACTGTAAGCAATAGCGGAGCAGTTTGAAGTCACTTATAAAACAGCTCCTAGTTTAAATGGGGCATGGTGTATAGAAGCAGTTTGCTATGTTCTATAGAAAGCTTTGCAGGCTTTGACTCATTTTGAGAGGAAAATACTACTCCATTGTATGCAGAGCAGCTTCCTGGGGCAGGACTTTGAGGTTTCTTAAAGGCTTATGATTTTCAAATCCATGTTTGTTGTTGCTGCTTCTCCTTCTTCTCTCTTCTTTAATGACAATCATAAATATTAAAAGAGAATATGTAGGTTTTAGCCAGTCCTCTCATGAAAGTCCTGTAGCTTGGTCCCCGAGCTCCTTTTTAAGGAGAAGTGGCAGTTGGCATACTAGTCACTAGCCTTTTTTTTTTTTTTTTTTACTTCCTTGGAAAAGCTATACAAGGATTAAATCCAAAATTATAGTGCATCTTAAAAAGCAGCATACTTTTAGAAAGACAGTCAATAAATTACTTTGTACAACATACAAAATAACATTTTCTACTGCAGCATCACCTCTGACGCCTGAGTCATCGTTATGGGAACTCGGAAGAGAAGTAGCAGGATGGCCTAGTAACTTTGCCAGCTTTTTCTTTTCTTTTAAAAAGTTTTAAAAACCATTTTTGTTCCAGAATCAGTATGTAATGAAGTTTGATTTTATTCAAGGCACCCCCAGAAAACGCAGAGAAACAAAGACATATAGCAAAGCACTCACCTGCCCAAAGCCTGACCAACCTGAATGAAGGGAGGTGGTCTGGAGACACAAATAGGACAAAGATGGATCCCCAGAGAGGACTAGATTTAGGTGGGATGTTAATTAGTCTTGGGGTCATCTGCACTGGCCCTACCACCACAATCCATTCCTATCCTGACCATCTGGAAATGCAACCAGGCTGTCACAGAGATCCTCCCAAAGAGCCCACTATTGGAGTGTTCTTTATTTTTGTAAGGAAGAACTCTTAAAAAATACAACTGAATGTTACCTTGTTGTGCAAACATTTATTCTTTGCTGTTCACTTGCTTTTCCTTTTTATAAAAGGCATGAGGTTGACTAAGGGATCCCAGATAAAGAAGACAGACTGGATTTTTCAATTCCACTTTGAGGCAATTTGGATTCTGGTCCCCAGCAAGACCTCCCTTTGAATTGAGACAGAAATATTTCTGACAAACAATGATTCAGAATAGCAAAAGACACAGACTATCACATGAACAATTACATAAAATCAGTCACTGTTTGTTGTGGCTAATGAATGAAATAACTTGTTAAAAATACTTAAGAAGTAGAATGACTGTTTTTTTTTTTAACATTTTTTTTAAAGCCAGTTCCCATGGCAGAGGTTGGGCAGGGGAAGAGGAAGAAATGTGAGGCCGAGGCTGATGGGAGGGAAATGAAGGTTGAGTTAGGGTGAAGAGAAAAAGAGACCCCTCCCCTCCAGGAAATGGCTGCCACTCAGGTTTGGGCTACTGAACAACAGAAACCTGGGGAAACAGATGGAATGTGGTCAAGACTACCAGTTGCACATGAGTTGTTACCAGGGTAAATCAAGCAAAGAAGCTGGTCTGCACCTGGTTAGTTATGAGCAGAAGACATTCCTTTTTTAAAAGAAGAGGAGAGGTCACTTAAAAAGGCAACAGGAGAGTTAAAAAAAAATACTGTCTGCTGACTCTTGCACCATAACACACACCTGTGAAGTGTCACATGATTCACATTGAGTTAAAATTCTAGCTGTCACCAGTTTTCCACAAAGGCAAACCTCCCGGTGAAGCACAGAGCTGTTATACGAGGCTGAGAAATTCCAACAACTGTAACAAAAGACAGTAGCTCCAACACAGAGCTCTATTAAAATCTGTCTTTGACAAGTTCGTGTGTGCGTACACACACACACACACACACACACACACACACACACACACGGAGAAACGAAATTCCAGAGGCAGGTTTCAAAAGTGGAACTATTTTAAAAGAAAAGCCTTTTTTTTTTTTTAATCCTACTGCATGAACCAACAAATTTCTGGCATTCATACATATTTAAACATTTAGTGCTAATATTTGTACAGAAAAAAGTTAATACTAAAACATATGTTACTATGATTTCACTTTTCGCCTACTAATCATATACTAATTTCTCCTTTTACATGCAGCTTTAATATTGTCCAAACAATGGCACAAAAAAGAAACAAAGTCAACCATCTATTCCCACTGCCCACCACCCCATTCCCACATCAAACTGTTCTGGACTCTCTTTTACAGCCAGGCTGAAGTGACCTTCAGGCTGCTTAGTGAGAGGAGATGGGACCACTGGAAGGAGGGAGCTGATTCCTCTTCCTTGGGGCACACCTTCCTGTAAACATGGCCAGGGGCCAGGATGCCCCCAGAGCCAAGGGAAGCTGCTCTCTCTGGGTTGCAAGCCAACCAGTTTTGCAGCAAGAGAAGAAAATGATCATCAGGTGAGGGTAGGGTGTATGTGTGTGTGTGTGTGTTTGGGAAGAGGGGCAGGGAGGACTCCTGATGATGTCTCCTCCAAAGCCTCTGAATGAAGCTGCCTTCAGACAGGAGACTGGCAAAAAGCCTCAGAATACAACTTAGCATTAGGAGAGGGAAAGGAGAAGAAATGTGTTAGTCCGCGTCAGGGATGGATCTCAGGCTTGAGTCTGCCATGCTCTCTCCTACTTTCAGGGAGCTGCCTCTTAAACAGGACCCTCAGGCTGCGACTCAAATTCCCTCAGGGGAGATGTCCTGGGAGACCAATCCCAGGCAGGAAAGCCGATGGTTGGTCCTTCAAAGGAGAAGGTCCTACTGCATAACACTTCCAAGAGCAAGCTAATGAAGTGCTGAAATGGATGAGCCTACTCCCTGGGAAAGAAAACAGTTCTAGCTTGATTTCTTTGCCTGCTGAGTTCTGGTGTGAAATCATAGATTCCTGCTACTTTGATGCAATTTTGAGTGAGATGTCCAAACTCTCTCCCCACCCAGGAATCTGAACATCCAGCATCAACTCTGAACTCTTTTATCTGCAGTTAAACTTTACTTAGGGAAAGGTGGGGACGAGGTGAAATATAAAAATATTCAAGCAGATTATTGTCTAAACATCCTAGGATGAATTCATTATTTGGCAAGATTGTTTTTCCTACATAATTATCACCTGAGTGCTTTTTTAAATTAGCTAAAATGTTTTACTTTTTAAACTAAAAGCAAAGAATATACAGTATACTTGAGTTATACTGAAGTTACAACTTCATTTAAGAAAATAGGTTTGACCCAAGACTCAGTGCAAGTGGCAAAGTTGACCATTACTGTACAGTATCTGCAAGGAAAAACAAAAAACAAAACAAAACAAAAATGGAGAACAAACCCACGATGCTCACACGACACCACCTGGAGGTGCCCAAACCAAACTAAACAAACAAAATAAGGGTCTAAAATAAAACCTTGAAAAGCTTCCAACATTGAATTTTATCCATAAATAAGCACAAATTGAAATTGAACTGTGAAGCAAGAAAAATGTTAACAGTTACCAAACTGGTTTTAAGCATCAGAGACAAAAGAAGAGGAATGTTGGAACCTGTTTATAAATGAGAAATGAAATTTCCAGTTTTGAGAAAATTGAGGCATGCAGGACTTTTGCATATGGATATATATATATATATATATATACTTTATATATATTATATATAATATGTACAGTCTAGCTATAAAATTTTGATGTGTATAGAAGCTGTCTTCAATGAAAAAAATTGAACATTCAGAAGAAATTCCTGAGATAGGGTTTGTGACATGGGCCACTGAGAAAAAAAATCCGTGGTTGGGTCCTCGAGGTGTTGTAGTCTATCCCTGTGAAGACTGAAATTAACCCACAGACAGACAGTGTCGCACTGTTGTCTTTCCTTGCCTGAGCAAGGGGTAGCACCATTGTGAAGGTAACTCTGTCGCTCCTGCTTGAAGAGAGGAGGGAATACTTCAGAACAGTATTGCTGCTAAGACCACTGTAGTGTGCACCAAATTCATTCTTGGTTCTTCAAGACAACAGATGAACAGTGCCATAGGCTGACTGAAGAACACCTGGATGGGAGAGGTGTGAGGACTGGGAGGCAGATCCGAGTCACTAGGTGTAATCTTTCCTGGGCTGTTCATCAGTCGTACACTTGTCAGTCATTTCCTGGCAGAAGTCCACGGTCACTGACTGGCTCCTGGGTTCAAGAGGAGGTCCTCTCTCAGAAAAGGTTCCTGGGTCAGTACCTTCCAACCTCCTCCCAGAGGTACAATTCTCAGAGGCATTGCTGGGGACCCAAGGGGGCCCGGGGGGAGCCGCACCTGGCTCCAAGCAGCAGGGCACACTTTCCCCCACCGCACACTGGGAGGCTGCAAGGTTCTGCTCAACACCCAAGGGAGTGGGGTTAATACTGGAGGCTCCAGGGAGATCCATGGGGATGAGGACAGGGCAATACCGGTGCAGGGCCTGGATCTGCTCGGGACTCTGGATGTCTCGGCAGACTTCCTGGGAGAGGCAGGAGAAGTTGTCTAACAGTTCCCCCATGCATGCTTTCAGTTGATTCCTCTCCGACAACAGTTTTTCTTTCTCACATACCTGGACAATAGAGGAAAAAAGAGAAGGTGTGATCAATCCTGAAACTGAGGGCACAAGACCTCATTTCAGCAGGTTTTCCAATATTTATTTTTATATACCATACATCATAACACATCTCATGAACAATGAGGTCAGGGTCAGACACTTAAAAATTACACATGTCCAGGGAGCCTGGACACACAGCTTGGCCATGTCTGCTGCCATGGATACGTTCCCTGTGGTGTCTCTTCATGCCTTCTCTCTGAGACCCAGGCAAGGACCAGCAAAATCACCACCAATCGGAAAACAGCAGGAAGTCAATGCCCCAGTTTCCTGGAATTTGAGGTTTGTAGAACATCAACTGGAAAACTCTTAGTCCCAAACCTTATAGTTAAAAATCTCCCTCTACTGTATTGGGATGCCATTTTAAGAGGCAAAAGCTGACCAATTCTAGCTATCTGACATTCTGAAAATGGCAAAGCTATGAAGATAGTTAAAAGCTTATCAGCAGTTACCAGAGTAAGGAATAAATGAATAAGTGGAGCAGAGTCAATTTCAGGTCAATGAATCTAATCTGTATGATACTATAGGGGTGAATATTATAGTATGTGTATATATATATATATATACACATACATATCTATATATTTCTTTCTATATAAAGTCTTTTATATATTTGTCAAAATGCACCACAGAATGTACAAACCAAGTGTGAACACTAGTGTAAAGTAAGGACTTCGGGTGACAAAGATGTTCCATGTAGATTATAGCAAATGTGCCACTCTGGAGGGCATGTTGGCAGTGGTGAGGCTATGAGTGTGTAGGATCAGGGGGCAACTGGAAACTCTGAATATTCTATTCTATTTTTTTTGTAAAACTAAAACTACCCTGAAGAAGTAAGTCTACTTACAAACAAATAAAATCAACCATCAGCAATTTCATGTGGTTCAACCTAACACCTGCAGGCTCTTTGGCCTTTGTATCACAGCAGACAGAATACAACAGTTCCCTTTTTGGGAGCCTGGACGCAGGACAGGAAGACAGAAACGTGGAGCCTGAGTCCTGACATACTAGCCCACGATTCTGAGATGTTTTCCCCCTGAAGTCAAATCCCACATACGTGCTTCTGTTACTAAAATTTATCACCTCCTCTGAGAGATGAGTGTAGCACCAGAGAGGAGACTAATTAAGGTTTTACCATCGGTGTTTGTGCGAGGTCCATGCGTTGCACATAATGAAGTAGATGAGGAAACCAGGCGCCTGAGGCAGTGTGAAGGGATTCCTGGCCAGCCCTCTGCTGGTGCGGGTGGGAAGGGCAAGGGAGGAAGGGAGGGAAATGAAGAGGAGGGAGAGAGGAGCAGGCATCGCATGCACAAGGAGCAAGTCTCCGATGTGGTAGCTGCACGTGCCGTAACACGAATACAATCTGGCAGGCAGCGTGGGCATGTGTGTCGGAGAGAGAGATTTACATGGGGAAAGGGCACCTGCTAAAATATTTATAAATTTATCAAGAAAACATGTTTTAAAAATGAAAAATAAACAGATGTACAAGTGCGACTCGAGAGAAATACATTATGCGAGTTTGCAGAAGCGGAGTGGCGGGTGTGTGGGAGACGGTGTGGGTGTGGGAAGTGAGTGTGGGGCCTGCTGCGGACTGTGAAGGGTGAGTGGGGTGGGGATGGAAGCTGTCCTGCCTGCCCAGGCCATCTCTGTCACTGGGTCAGGCAAATGAGTGGAGGACCCTGTATAAGAAATACATCAACAAGGGAGTTCTCTTGGTCTCGAAGAGAGTCTTGCATGCATGATGGGTCACCTGGACCCCTCTCCTTTGAACCTAGAAACCTGCAAAGGAAGGGGCAGCAACTCCCAGCCACCAGGAAAGGAATCTCAGTCTCAATTCTGCCACAGCAGCGTGGCCAAGGTACACACCACTTGTGAAAAATGTCTGGGCCACTTTCTAGGGGAAAGAAGATGAGGTGCCCCTTGTGAGAGTTTTGGCTCTGCAGGAAAGGCAGCATGAGTCACGCCTTGGGTAAAAACATAAGTTCTAAATCACAGACACAGATTGATGAGCGTGTGGCACTCTTAGCACTGGAACACAGCATGGTATTTAAGTGGTCGACAAAAAGTGGTGCAGAACTAGGAGTTCTTGGTTTTTCCACCGAACAATACCAGCAAAGGTAGATATCTGCCTATATAGTTTTTATCTTTAGATATCTGCTATATAGTTTCTCAGATTTTGTTATTTGTTCAGTATTACACAATTATAACAGCAGAATGTTATTAAAATCAGGATTTTTTCCCCTACTACCTGATGAGAGGGGCAGAGCAAGAATTACTATAGAGATGTGACCCTGCAGACTTGTACCTGGTTGTCTTGGTGATCTAAGCCCACCAGGCTTTCAGAAGCTCCACAATCACCAGCAGGAACATCCTGCTTCCTTATGTGGTTTAAGTTATGTTTTGTGTTAAAACAATGGGGGCTGGGGACATAACTCAGTGGTAAAGCTCTTGCCTAACGTATTCAAGGCACTGGGTTTGAGTCCTAGCACTGTAAAGAACAAAACAACCCCTGCCCCCACACAAATCAAACAAACAGAAAACACTAAGGAAAAATTTGGAAAACAAAAAAATTTGTAATCTTCTGACCTAAATTGTCACAACTTCCAGTAAGTTCTCAAAAGCCAACAGTGGGCCAATGCTGGTGATTCAGAGATGATCAAGACACTGTCTTGTCCTTGAGGAACTTACAGTCTAGGGTTGGCGTTGGCGGGGACACATGCACAAATAATCTAAGAATGAATGATAAGCCCTAAATCAGAGGGCAGATCAGGGCTCCCAGGGCAAGGCCTCAGTCTAACTGGAGACTCAGCAAAGGCAGACTTCCTGAAGAGTTGACCTGATTCTTAAAGCACAAGGGAGATAATTTGAGAAGGAAGAAGTAGAGGAATGTCCAGGGTAGAGGGGAGTCAGTAGGCATGAATGCAGAAGTATAAAACAGCAGGAGATGTGGGTTAAATATGGACAGTTTGATATCATTAGGGGTTGAATCCTAAGAAGGCAGTGAAAGGAGATGCCAGAGGGACAGTTTAGAAACTGAATCATGGAGGGCAGGGTATGTCTTTAAAAATGTGCATATTTATGGTGTACAATGTGATAATTCAATATATGAATACAATGTGAATGATCAATTCAGGCTAATTAGCCTGAATTTCTCTTTCCTTAACCACTTTTAATTTCTTTTTTTGGGGGAAACTTTGAGCTCCTCTTTTCCAGTTCTTTATAAGATAAATAATAAATTGTTATGAACTATAGTTCTGTAGTTGTAGAACATTGCAATTTATTTCTCTAATTGTATTTTGGTACCTGTTATCCAGCCTCCCACTAGGATTGCTCCTTAGCAAGGACTGACCTTACTAAGGAGCTTTGGCTTTACTTTGCAGGTGATGGGATCTACTGACCATGGGCAGATTTTCCCTGTTTCATGTCAAAACAAGAACAAGAACAACAGCAAACCCCTGAAGTCCAAGGTTATCTTTTCTTAAATTTTTTTTAACAACTTTATTTTATTTATTTATTTTTATGTGGTGCTGAGGACCAAACCCAATGCCTCACATGTGCTAGGCAAACACTATACCACTGAGCTACAGTCCCCTAAGGTTATCTTAATAATAAATTATACAATACTTCCTTGGGCCTTCCCAATATCTCATCATTGCTCACGAGGCAATGAATTTGCTGCAAATAGCCTGAGAACCTGAACTTAGATCTTGACCACATTATATGGCCTCTGTCTTCTTCAGCTTGACACAATCCAAGGCCAGAATTTGGATAGTAGAGAGGTAGAACTGAATAGGTCAAGTTGGTTGTCTTCAAAGCTATAGTCAG